GAGTCTATGGGTCTCTATGTGAGTCTATGGGTCTCTTTGTGGGTCTCTGTGTGAGTTTATGGGTCTCTGTGAGTTTATAGGTCTCTGTGTGAGTCTATGGGTCTCTGTGTGAGTCTATGGGTTTCTGTGTGAGTGTGTGGGTCTTTGTGAGTCTATGGGTCTCTGTGTGAGTCTATGGGTCTCTGTGTGGGTCTCTGTGTGAGTCTATGGGTCTCTGTGTGAGTCTATGGGTCTCTGTGTGGGTCTCTGTGTGAGTCTATGGGTCTATGTGTGAGTCTATGGGTCTCTGTGTGGGTCTCTGTGTGAGTCTATGGGTCTCTGTGTGAGTCTATGGGTCTCTGTGTGAGTGTCTGGGTCTCTGAGTCTATGGGTCTCTGTGTGAGTGTGTTGGTCTCTGTGTGAGTGTGTGGGTCTCTGTGTGAGTTTATGGGTCTCTGTGTGAGTCTATGGGTCTCTGTGTGAGTGTGTGGGTCTTTGTGAGTCTATGAGTCTCTGTGTGAGTCTATGGGTCTCTGTGTGGGTCTCTGTGTGAGTCTATGGGTCTCTGTGTGAGTGTGTGGGTCTCTGAGTCTATGGGTCTCTGTGTGAGTCTCTGTGTGAGTCTATGGGTCTCTGTGATGAGTCAATGGGTCTCCGTAATTAATCTATGGGTCTCTGTATGAGTCTATGGGTCTCTGTGTGAGTCTATGGGTCTCTGTGTGAGTGTGTGGGTCTCTGTGTGAGTCGATGGGTCTCTGAGTGTGTGAGTCTCTGTGTGGGTCTGTGGGTTTCTGTGTGAGTCTGTGGGACTCTGTGATTAGTCTATGAGTCTCTGTGATGAGTCTATGGGTCTCTGATTGAGTCTATGGGTCTCTGTATGAGTGTGTGGGTCTCTGTGTGAGTCTATGGGTCTCTGTGTGAGTCTATGGGTCTCTGTGTGAGTGTGTGGGTCTCTGTGTGTGTGGGACTCTGTGATTAGTCTATGAGTCTCTGTGATGAGTCTATGGGTCTCTGTATGAGTGTGTGGGTCTCTGTGTGAGTCTATGGGTCTCTGTGTGAGTCTATGGGAGCCTTAGTCTGGCTCTGTGAGCCTCAGTGATTAACACTGAACCCTGTGGGAGCCTTAGTCTGGCTCTGTGAGCCTCAGTGATTAACACTGAACCCTATGGGAGCCTCAGTCTGGCTCTGTGAGCCTCAGTGATTAACACTGAACCCTATGGGAGCCTCAGTCTGGCTCTGTGAGCCTCAGCGATTAGCACTGAACCTTGTGGGAGCCTTAGTCTGGCTCTGTGAGCCTGAGTGATTAACACTGAACTCTGTGGGAGCCTTGGTCTGGCTCTGTGAGCCTCAATGATTAGCACTGAACCCTGTGGGAGCCTTAGTCTGGCTCAGTGAGCCTCAGTGATTAACACTGAACCCTATGGGAGCCTCAGTCTGGCTCTGTGAGCCTCAGCGATTAACACTGAACCCTATGGGAGCCTTAGTCTGGCTCAGTGAGCCTCAGTGATTAACACTGAACCCTATGGGAGTTTTAGTCTGGCTCTGTGAGTCTCAGTGATCAACACTGAATCCTATGGGAGGCTTAGTCTGCCTCTGTGAGCCGCAGTGATTAACACTGAACCCTGTGGGAGCCTTAGTCTGGCTCTGTGAGCCTCAGCGATTAACAGTGAACCCTGTGAGAGCCTTAGTTTGGCTCTATGATCCTCAGTGATTAACACTGAACCCTGTGGGAGCCACAGTCTGACTCTGTGAGCCTCAGTGATTAACACTGAACCCTGTGGGAGCCACAGTCTGGCTCTTTAAGCCTCAGCGATTAACACTGAACCCTATGGGAGCCTTAGTCTGGCTCTGTGAGCCTCAGCGATTAACACTGAACCCTATGGGAGCCTTAGTCTGGCTCTGTAAGCCTCAGTGATTAACACTGAACCCTATGGGAGCCTCAGTCTGGCTCTGTGAGCCTCAGTGATTAACACTGAACCCTATGGGAGCCTCAGTCTGGCTCTGTGAGCCTCAGCGATTAACACTGAACCCTATGGGAGCCTTAGTCTGGCTCAGTGAGCCTCAGTGATTAACACTGAACCCTATGGGAGCCTTAGTCTGGCTCTATGATCCTCCGCGATTAACACTGAACCCTATGGGAGCCTTAGTCTGGCTCTGTGAGTCTCAGTGATTAACACTTAACCCTATGGGGACCTTAGTCTGGCTCTGTGAGCCTCAGTGATTAGCACTGAACCCTGTGGGAGCCTTAGTCTGGCTCTGTGAGCCTGAGTGATTAACACTGAACTCTGTGGGAGCCTTGGTCTGGCTCTGTGAGCCTCAGTGATTAGCACTGAACCCTGTGGGAGCCTTAGTCTGGCTCAGTGAGCCTCAGTGATTAACACTGAACCCTATGGGAGCCTCAGTCTGGCTCTGTGAGCCTCAGTGATAAACACTGAACCCTGTGGGAGCCTCAGTCTGGCTCTGTGAGCCTCAGCGATTAACCCTGAACCCTATGGGAGCCTTAGTCTGGCTCAGTGAGCCTCAGTGATTAACACTGAACCCTATGGGAGCCTTAGTCTGGCTCTATGATCCTCAGCGATTAACACTGAACCCTATGGGAGCCTTAGTCTGGCTCTGTGAGCCTCAGTGATTAGCACTGAACCCTGTGGGAGCCTTAGTCTGGCTCTGTGAGCCTCAGTGATTAGCACTGAACCCTGTGGGAGCCTCAGTCTGGCTCTGTGAGCCTCAGCGATTAACACTGAACCCTATGGGAGCCTTAGTCTGGCTCTGTGAGCCTCAGTGATTAACACTGAACGCTGTGAGAGCCTTATTCTGGCTCTTTGAGCCTCAGTGATTAACACTGAACGCTATGGGAGCCTTAGTCTGGCTCTGTGAGCCTCAGCGATTAACACTGAACCCTGTGGGAGCCTTAGTCTGGCTCTGTGAGCCTCAGTGATTAACACTGAACCCTATGGGAGCCTCAGTCTGGCTCTGTGAGCCTCAGTGATTAACACTGAACCCTATGGGAGCCTCAGTCTGGCTCTGTGAGCCTCAGCGATTAACATTGAACCCTATGGGAGCCTTAGTCTGGCTCAGTGAGCCTCAGTGATTAACACTGAACCCAATGGGAGCCTTAGTCTGGCTCTATGATCCTCCGCAATTAACACTGAACCCTATGGGAGCCTTAGTCTGGCTCTGTGAGTCTCAGTGATTAACACTTAACCCTATGGGGACCTTAGTCTGGCTCTGTGAGCCTCAGTGATTAGCACTGAACCCTGTGGGAGCCTTAGTCTGGCTCTGTGAGCCTGAGTGATTAACACTGAACTCTGTGGGAGCCTTGGTCTGGCTCTGTGAGCCTCAGTGATTAGCACTGAACCCTGTGGGAGCCTTAGTCTGGCTCAGTGAGCCTCAGTGATTAACACTGAACCCTATGGGAGCCTCAGTCTGGCTCTGTGAGCCTCAGTGATTAACACTGAACCCTGTGGGAGCCTCAGTCTGGCTCTGTGAGCCTCAGCGATTAACCCTGAACCCTATGGGAGCCTTAGTCTGGCTCAGTGAGCCTCAGTGATTAACACTGAACCCTATGGGAGCCTTAGTCTGGCTCTATGATCCTCAGCGATTAACACTGAACCCTATGGGAGCCTTAGTCTGGCTCTGTGAGCCTCAGTGATTAGCACTGAACCCTGTGGGAGCCTTAGTCTGGCTCTGTGAGCCTCAGTGATTAGCACTGAACCCTGTGGGAGCCTCAGTCTGGCTCTGTGAGCCTCAGCGATTAACACTGAACCCTATGGGAGCCTTAGTCTGGCTCTGTGAGCCTCAGTGATTAACACTGAACGCTGTGAGAGCCTTATTCTGGCTCTTTGAGCCTCAGTGATTAACACTGAACGCTATGGGAGCCTTAGTCTGGCTCTGTGAGCCTCAGCGATTAACACTGAACCCTGTGGGAGCCTTAGTCTGGCTCTGTGAGCCTCAGTGATTAACACTGAACCCTGTGGGAGCCTTAGTCTGGCTCTGTGAGCCTCACTGATTAACACTGAACCCTGTGGTAGCCTTAGTCTGGCTCTGTGAGCCTCAGTGATTAACACTGAACCCTGTGGGAGCCTTAGTCTGGCTCTGTGAGCCTCAGCGATTAACACTGAACCCTGTGGGAGCCTTAGTCTGGCTCTGTGAGCCTCAGCGATTAACACTGAACCCTGTGGGAGCCTTAGTCTGGCTCTGTGAGTCTCAGTGATTAACACTGAACCCTGTGGGAGCCTTAGTCTGGCTCTATGAGCCTCAGTGATCGACTGGATCCAATTCGTTGCAAATCAGGGCTGAGCTGACTTTAATCCACGTCTCTAAAAGGAAGGCTTCACCAACCCAGTCCACCAATCAGCGCCGAGTTAACCCTAAGCTCCGCCCCTTATCCTCGTCCACACTTCCCCTCAACCAATCAGCGCCGAGTTAACCCTCAACTCCGCCCCTTTACTCGTCCACACTTCTCCTCAACCAATCAGCGCCGAGTTTACCTGGAATACCCGCACCGTAATGCCCCCCTCTTCCGCCCAGTCCACCAATCAGCGCCAACCCCCGCCCATAATTACAGACCCCACCCACCTCCATCGTCTCGCCCAGTTCACCAATCAGCGCCGAGTTAACCCTAAACTCCACCCATTATTCGTATCCACACTTCCCCTCAACCAATCAGCGCCGAGTTAGACCTGAACACCTGTATACCATAATACCTCCCCCCCCGCCCAGTCCACCAATCAGCGCCAAAGTCAACCCTAATCTCCCGCCCATAATTCTAGACCTCCCCCCCCCACACACCCCCATCGTCCCGCCCAGTTCACCAATCAGCGCCGAGTTAACCCTGAACTCCTCCCATTATTCTCGTCCACACTTCCCCTCAACCAATCAGCGCCGAGTTTACCTGGAACACCCGCACCGTAATTGCTCCCCCTTCCCCTCTCTCTCCCGCCCAGTCCACCAATCAGCGCCAAAGTCCAACCCCTAAATAATTCCAGACCACACCCACCCCCCACCCCATCGCCCCGCCCACTCCGAGCACGGTATAAATAGCGAGAACCAACAACGGTAGCGGCCACTGTTGTTGTTGTTATTGTTAAGATTGCTGTTGGTGTTATCGCTGCGATGAACCAATTGGGGGTGCTGCTGGTCCCTCGCCTCGCCTGGAGGACCCCCAGGGCAGCGCTGCTGAGGCCGCTGTCGACGGCTGCCCCCACCGCTCTGCCCGTGCCCGACCCGAAGCCGAAAATTCACTACAAGCAGGTGGGGGTGGGGGTTGTTGTTGGGGGCTAGGGTTGTGTGTGTGTGTGAGTGTGTTGGTGAATGGCACGGGCTAGAGATGGGGGTGTGTGTGTGTGAGTGTGTTGGTGAATGGCACGGGCTAGAGATGGGGTTGTGTGTGAGAGTGTGTTGGTGAATAGCACGGGCTAGAGATGGGTTTGAGTGTGTTGGTGAATGGCACGGGCTAGAGATGGGTGTGTGTGTGTGAGTGTGTTGGTGAATGGCACGGGCTAGAGATGGGTGTGTGTGTTGGTGAATGGCACGGGCTAGAGAAGGGGGCGTGTGAGTGTGTTGGTGAATGGCACGGGCTAGAGATGGGGGTGTGTGTGTGTGTGTGAGTGTGTTGGTGAATGGCACGGGCTAGAGATGGGGGTTTGAGTGTGTTGGTGAATGGCACGGGCTAGAGATGGGTGTGTGTGTGTGAGTGTGTTGGTGAATGGCACGGGCTAGAGATGGGGTGTGTGTGTGTGAGTGTGTTGGTGAATGGCACGGGCTAGAGTTGGGGGTGTGTGTGTGTGAGTGTGTTGGTGAATGGCACGGGCTAGAGATGGGGTTGTGTGTGAGAGTGTGTTGGTGAATAGCACGGGCTAGAGATGGGTTTGAGTGTGTTGGTGAATGGCACGGGCTAGAGATGGGGGTTTGAGTGTGTTGGTGAATGGCACGGGCTAGAGATGGGGGTGTGTGTGTGAGTGTGTTGGTGAATGGCACGGGCTAGAGATGGGTGTGTGTGTGAGTGTGTTGGTGAATGGCACGGGCTAGAGATGGGTGTGTGTGTGAGTGTTGGTGAATGGCACGGGCTAGAGATGGGGGTTTGAGTGTGTTGGTGAATGGCACGGGCTAGAGATGGGTGTGTGTGAGTGTGTTGGTGAATGGCACGGGCTAGAGATGGGTGTGTGTGTGTGAGTGTGTTGGTGAATGGCACGGGCTAGAGATGGGTGTGTGTGTGTGAGTGTGTTGGTGAATGGCACGGGCTAGAGAAGGGGGCGTGCGAGTGTGTTGGTGAATGGCACGGGCTAGAGATGGGGGGTGTGTGTGTGTGGGTGAGTGTGTTGGTGAATGGCACGGGCTAGAGATGGGGGTGTGTGTGTGTGAGTGTGTTGGTGAATGGCACGGGCTAGAGATGGGGTTGTGTGTGTGTTGGTGAATGGCACGGGCTAGAGATGGGGTTGTGTGTGTGTGAGTGTGTTGGTGAATGGCACGGGCTAGAGATGGGGGTGTGTGTGTGGGTGAGTGTGTTGGTGAATGGCACGGGCTAGTGATGGGGTTGTGTGTGTGTTGGTGAGTGTGTTGGTGAATGGCACGGGCTAGAGATGGGGGTGTGTGTGTGTGGGTGAGTGTGTTGGTGAATGGCACGGGCTAGAGATGGGGGTGTGTGTGTGTGGGTGAGTGTGTTGGTGAATGGCACGGGCTAGAGATGGGGGTGTGTGTGTGTGGGTGAGTGTGTTGGTGAATGGCACGGGCTAGAGATGGGGGTGTGTGTGTGTGAGTGTGTTGACTGGCTCCAGTTTAACAGCAGAGGTCTCACTCCGAATCAGTCGAGCGGCAATATCTTTTCATCGGTTGCGTAACGCTGTGTGGAAGCTACCTGGTCTGTCGCTCCGCACTAAGCTTCAGGTCTTCTCGGCCACGGTCATTCCCTCCCTTCTCTACGCTTGCGAAACGTGGACCCTCCTAATGGAACATCTTCGCCGGTTAGAAACATTTAGGCTGGCCTGCCTACGATCCATCCTGGGTTTAACCAGACTGGATTGTGTGAGGAGCTCACAAATCCTTGAAAGATCTGGGCAGGGTCCCATCGGTGAGCTCCTCCGGCAGGCAAGGCTGCGATGGCTGGGTCATGTAGCCCGCATGCCCAGCCACCGCATGCCGAAACAGCTTTTGTTTGGCCGGATTGAGGGAGCTAAGCGGGCGCGGCACGGGCTAGAGAAGAGATGGAGTGATGTGGTACAGGAGGACGTGGAGCTGAGTGGACTTGCCGATGACTGGTACCAGCGGTGTCAAGATCGGCCTCTGTGGAGGAGGCTCGTGAAGGATGCTACTGGGCAGTTGGAGGCAGTCGCCCTCCAACAACAACGGAGGGCGGAGGAGCGACGCTCACAACAGCGAGCGGAGCGCCGGGTGGCTAAAGCACAGCAGGTTGGCACAGTAGGGGGCACAGGTGGTGCATCAGCCAGTCATCTCAGTCAGTCGACCCGTGGCACCTGGGTCTGCCCCATGACCTCCTGCCAGCGGGCGTTCGACACTTCACGTGGCCTCAGGGTGCACATAGCCTGGCACAAGCGTCGTGGTGACGTCACCGCCACTTAGTGGCGAATGGCGGTTGTTGTTGTTGTTGTGTGTTGGTGAATGGCACGGGCTAGAGATGGGCTGGAGCGATGTGGTCCAGGAGGACGTGGGGCCGAGGTGGACGGGGCGAGTCCGTTCCGTGACCTCGTGCACCTAGCCTAGGCGTGGTTGGGCACGCAGATCGATAGCCTTCACTTTTGGCAGGAGATTGTGAGTGCAACAGACGGGGTGACCCTTTAAGGGGGGTGACCCTTTAAGGGGGGTGACCCTTTAAGGGGGGTGACCCTTTAAGGGGAAGGTGTCCCTTTAAGGGGAAGGTGTCCCTTTAAGAGGAAGGTGTCCCTTTAAGGGGGGAGGTGTGGAACCTTTTTTTATGCAAAGGGCCATTTTGGACATTTATAACATCATCCGCTGGCCACACAGAATTATAAAACATTTGATTAACTCGCCCCCCCCCCCAATGTGATGGGCTGGAACTGCCTCTCTTTAAGCGAGGCGTGTGAGGTGATGTTAGCCGGCTATTGATGATGTCGCTGCTACTCGCAATTGCTTTTCCAGGTTTGCTCTCCGAGATTTATTTAATTTTTGGAGTCCCACCGCCTGCCGGTTGCCTTGGCAGGGTCAGAGACCCAAATGATTGCGCGGGCCTCACACGGCCCGCGGGCCGGACGCCCCGCCCCCTTTAAGGGGCGGTGTCCCTTTAAGGGGAGGTGTCCCTTTAAGGAGAGGTGTCCCTTTAAGGGGACTTCCATCTCAACAAACTGACCCAAGATGAACCCTGAAACGGGCCGTGCGCCTTTAAGAGGAGCCTTAAATCGCCGGCCAATACGTTTTAATACCCGGCAGACGCAGTTTTCACTTTTGCAGGTTGATTTAGTCGATGCAACGGACAGGTGTCCCTTTAAGACGACTACCGTGTCTCAACGGGTGACCCGAGATCAACCCCGTTGCGGCGGGGTCGCCGAAAATGGGGGTGGGTGCGACTTTTGAGAAACGGGGCCAGTGTGCCTTTAAGGAGAATCCTAAAAGTCACCGAACCAAGACGTGTTTATGCCCGCGGATCTAATTAGCTGCCGCTTCTGGCAGGAAATATACAGTGCGACAGACCGTGTCCCCTTTAAGAGTAGAGGTGTTCCTTTAAGGAGAGGAACTCCCGTCTCTCAACGCTGACCCAGCCACGGGACCCCCCTGTTGCGGCGGGGTCACCGAAATCGGGTCTTTGGTGTCCCTTTAAGATGTGGACTTTGGCCACCATCGTGGCCGATTCCGATGATGAAAGTTTCACGCGCGCTTAAACGCGTTGTAGAATTTTCTTTATTTTTTTTTTAAATATTTTAAAGGGCTTATTTTTTTTTTACCCCGCATTTTTTTTATGCATCTGATTCGCCGTCTCTTCCCCTACGCGTCTATAATTTTCCTCTATTTTGTAGCTCTCTTATTCATCGTGCGGCTTAAGGGTTGCGAAACTTTCGGCTCTGCTCCTCACCTCGAGGGTTCGTTGCGCAACTTTGCAGCCGCAAGCCGCCGCGCCCTCCCCCCCTCCCCCATCGCCGATTCCTGGTAACGATTCTAGAAATCGGTATCGATTCTCCCTGATTTTATCTTTAACGACGGTCGACAGATCTTCCGTTGAGCGCCGATCGCTATCGATACGCGATTAATAATCCGGACGATTAATCGATTTACGCGGTACGTTGCGGGAATTGCATCACCTCCTTGAGCGTAATAATCGATTGATATCGATGAGTTTAGCTCACGATCCGATTCCCCGCCTCATGGGGCCCACGGGGTCCAAAGTAAACGGGGGGCGGGGCGTCCCCTTGCCCGCCGGCGTTGGGGCGGGGCTTCCCCGTGCCCCCGCCCACATCTGTACTAGGCCACGCCTACTACGTCCGGCGGCTCTCCGTCAATCAGCGGGTGGCGGCCTCGGGGTGGCTCTGGGCCCCGATTGGTCGAGTGGGTGGGTGTCAAAGCTCCCACTCTGATTGGTTGGCGGAGAATTCGCATTTCTTTTTTAATGAACTGATGGGGGATTGATTTAAACCGTCGGCTTGTAGCAGTATACAGGAAACACTACACTACTATACACTACACACTACACTACTACACAGTATACACTACACACTACACTACTACACAGTATACAGGAAACACTACACTACTATACACTACACTACTACACAGTATACACACTACACAGTATACACTACACACTACACTACTACACAGTATACAGGAAACACTACACTACTACACAGTATACAGGAAACACTACACTACTACACAGTATACACTACACAGTATACACTACCACACTACACTACTACACAGTATACACTCCACACTACACTACTACACAGTATACACTACACACTACACTACTACACAGTATACACTACACACTACACTACTATACACTACACTACTACACAGTATACACTACTATACACTACTACAGTCTACACTACTATACACTACTACACTACTATACACCACTACACAGTATACACCAACTTACTATACTCTACACTTCTATACACTACTGCACAGTATACACCAGAATACACGACTATATACTACACTACTACACACTGCTACACTACTCTACACACTGCTACACTACTCTACAGACTATACACACTGCTACACTACTATACACACTGCTACACTTCTATACACACTGCTACACTACTATACACTACACACTGCTACACTACTATACACTACTATACAGACTGCTACACTACTATACAGACTGCTACACTACTATACAGACTGCTACACTACTATACAGACTGCTACACTACTATACACACTGCTACACTACTATACACACTGCTACACTACTATACACTACACTACTATACACACTGCTACACTACTATACTCTACACTACTATACACACTGCTACACTACTATACACTACACTACTATACACACTGCTACACTACTATACTCTACACTACTATACACACTGCTACACTACTATACACACTGCTACACTACTATACACACTGCTGCACTACTATACACACTGCTGCCCTACTATACACTCTGCTACACTACTATACACTACACTACTGTACACTACACTACTATACACACTACTATACACTACACTACTGTACACTACACTACTGTACACTACACTACTGTACACTACACTATTATACACTACACTACTATACACACTGCTACACTGCTATACACACTGCTATACACACTGCTACACTACTATACACACTGCTATACACACTGCTATACACACTGCTATACACACTGCTATACACACTGCTATATACACTGCTATATACACTGCTATACACACTGCTATATACACTGCTATACACACTGCTACACTACACTGCTATATACACTACTATACACTACACTACTACACACTGATACACTACTACACACTATACACTACACTATTTAACAGTCAACACTACTATTAATTGATACACCCTACTAGCACCAGACTAACGCACAGGGACAGCTGTTACTGGGGGTGCCCCCTAGGCTACAGACACTCACACACAGAGACAGCTGTCACTGGGGGTGCCCCCTAGGCTACAGACACTTACACACAGAGACAGCTGTCACTGGGGGTGTCCCCTAGGCAACAGACCCACACAGAGACAGCTGCCACTGGGGGTGCCCCCTATGCTACAGACTCACACACAGAGACAGCTGTCACTGGGGGTGTCCCCTAGGCTACAGACACTCACACAGGGACAGCTGTCACTGGGGGTGCCCCCTAGGCTACAGACACACACACACAGAGACAGCTGTCACTGGGGGTGTCCCCTAGGCTACAGACACTTACACACAGAGACAGCTGTCACTGGGGGTGCCCCCTAGGCTATAGACACTCACACACAGGGACAGCTGTCATTGGGGGTGCCCCCTAGGCTACAGACACTCACACACAGGGACAGCTGTCACTGGGGGTGTCCCCTAGGCTACAGACACTCGCACAGAGACAGCTGTCACTGGGGGTGCCCCCCTTGGCTACAGACACTCACACGCAGGGACAGCTGTCACTGGGGGTGCCCCCCTAGGCTACAGACACTCACACACACAGGGACAGCTGTCACTGGGGGTGCCCCCTAGGCTACAGACACTCACACACACAGAGACAGCTGTCACTGGGGGTGCCCCCCTAGGCTACAGACACTCACACACAGGGACAGCTGTCACTGGGGGTGTCCCCTAGGCTACAGACTCACACACAGGGACAGCTGTCACTGGGGGTGTCCCCTAGGCTACAGACACTCACACACAGGGACAGCTGTCACTGGGGGTGTCCCCTAGGCTACAGACACTCGCACACAGGGACAGCTGTCACTGGGGGTGCCCCCTAGGCTACAGACTCACACAGGGACAGCTGTCACTGGGGTGCCCCCCTAGGCTACAGACACTCACACAGAGACAGCTGTCACTGGGGGTGTCCCCTAGGCTACAGACACTCACACACAGGGACAGCTGTCACTGGGGGTGTCCCCTAGGCTACAGACACTCGCACACAGGGACAGCTGTCACTGGGGGTGTCCCCTAGGCTACAGACACTCACACACAGGGACAGCTGTCACTGGGGGTTTCCCCTAGGCTACACTCACACACAGGGACAGCTGTCACTGGGGGTGTCCCCTAGGCTACACTCACACACAGGGACAGCTGTCACTGGGGGTGTCCCCTAGGCTACAGACACTCACACACAGAGACAGCTGTCACTGGGGGTGCCCCCTAGGCTACAGACACTCACACACAGACAGCTGTCACTGGGGGTGTCCCCTAGGCTATAGCCCCACACAGAGACAGCTGTCACTGGGGGTGTCCCCTAGGCTATAGCCCCACACAGAGACAGCTGTCACTGGGGGTGTCCCCTAGGCTACAGACTCACACAGAGACAGCTGTCACTGGGGGTGCCCCCCTAGGCTACAGACACTCACACACAGGGACAGCTGCCGCTGGGGGTGCCCCCTAGGCTACAGACACACACAGGGACAGCTGTCACTGGGGGTGTCCCCTAGGCTACAGACTCACACACAGGGACAGCTGTCACTGGGGGTGCCCCCTATGCTACAGACTCACACACACAGGGACAGCTGTCACTGGGGGTGTCCCCTAGGCTACAGACACTCACACACAGGGACAGCTGTCACTGGGGGTGTCCCCTAGGCTACAGACTCACACACAGAGACAGCTGTCACTGGGGGTGTCCCCTAGGCTACAGACCCACACAGAGACAGCTGTCACTGGGGGTGTCCCCTAGGCTACAGACACTCACACACAGAGACAGCTGTCACTGGGGGTGCCCCCTAGGCTACAGACACTCACACACAGACAGCTGTCACTGGGGGTGTCCCCTAGGCTATAGCCCCACACAGAGACAGCTGTCACTGGGGGTGTCCCCTAGGCTATAGCCCCACACAGAGACAGCTGTCACTGGGGGTGTCCCCTAGGCTACAGACCCACACAGAGACAGCTGTCACTGGGGGTGTCCCCTAGGCTACAGACACTCACACACAGGGACAGCTGTCACTGGGGGTGTCCCCTAGGCTACAGACACTCACACACAGGGACAGCTGTCACTGGGGGTGCCCCCTAGGCTACAGACACTCACACACAGGGACAGCTGTCACTGGGGGTGCCCCCTATGACCATCTTCTCCCCTAACCCGCGACTGTTGTCCGTCGTTCCGGCCCGCCGCCCTCCTGCAGATCTTCATCAACAACGAGTGGCGTGACGCACGTAGCGGGAAGACCTTCCCCACCATCAACCCCGCCAACGGTGATGTCATCTGTCACGTGGCAGAGGGGGACAAGGTACGAGGGGGGGAGGGGTGTCCCCCCTCCCCCATCGCCCCACGCGTCACCACCCCCCTCCCCCATCGCCCCCCGTGTCTCCTCGTGTCTCACAGCGTCCCCTGTGTGTGTGACTGTGTGGGTGTGTGACTGTGTGTCTCTGTGTGTGTGTGTGTCTCTGTGTGTGTGTGTTTCTGTGTGTGTGTGTGTCTCTGTGTGTGTGTGTGTCTCTGTGTGTGTGTGTGTCTCTGTGTGTGTGTGTGTCTCTGTGTGTGTGTGTGTCTCTGTGTGTGTGTGTCTCTGTGTGTGTGTCTCTGTGTGTGTGTGTGTGTCTCTGTGTGTGTGTGTGTCTCTGTGTGTGTGTGCGTCTCTGTGTGTGTGTGCGTCTCTGTGTGTGTGTGCGTCTCTGTGTGTGTGTGCGTCTCTGTGTCTCTGTGTGTGTGTGCGTCTCTGTGTGTGTGTGCGTCTCTGTGTGTGTGTGCGTCTCTGTGTCTCTGTGTCTCTGTGTCTCTGTGTCTCTGTGTGTGTGTGCGCGTCTCTGTGTCTCTGTGTTTGTCTGTGTGTGTGTGTGCGTCTCTGTCTGTGTGTCTGTCTGTGTGTGTGTGCGCGTCTCTGTCTGTGCGTCTGTCTGTGTGTGTGTGTGTGTGTGCGTCTCTGTCTGTGTGTGTGTGTGTGCGTCTCTGTCTGTGTGTGTGTGTGCGTCTCTGTCTGTGTGTGTGTGTGTGCGTCTCTGTCTGTGTGTGTGTGTGCGTCTCTGTCTGTGTGTGTGTGTGCGTCTCTGTCTGTGTGTGTGTGTGCGTCTCTGTCTGTGTGTGTGTGTGCGTCTCTGTCTGTGTGTGTTGTGTGCGTCTCTGTCTGTGTGTGTGTGCGTCTCTGTCTGTGTGTGTGTGTGCGTCTCTGTCTGTGTGTGCGTGTGTGTGTGTGCGTCTCTGTCTGTGTGTGTGCGTGTGTGTGTGTGCGTCTCTGTCTGTGTGTGTGCGTGTGTGTGTGTGCGTCTCTGTCTGTGTGTGTGCGTGTGTGTGTGTGCGTCTCTGTCTGTGTGTGTGCGTGTGTGTGTGTGCGTCTCTGTCTGTGTGTGTGCGTGTGTGTGTGTGCGTCTCTGTCTGTGTGTGTGCGTGTGTGTGTGTGCGTCTCTGTCTGTGTGTGTGCGTGTGTGTGTGTGCGTCTCTGTCTGTGT